CCCTTCCCATCCCCGCACCACCCGTCGTCTCTTTCCTTAATATAAGTGTACCTTCATTCGACCGATCGGACCTGAGGCATCGTATCTGATGTGTAGAATGCAATATTGGATACGAACAGATCAAATGGCGGAACATCATCATCATCATCATCATCATCATCATCATCATCATCATCATCATCATCATCATCATCATCATCATCAACAACAACAACAACAACAACAACAACAACAACAACAACAACAACAACAACAACATTAGACTGAGTTTGTTGAACCTCAAAGGGGAGACATTAACATTGTATTTTCAGTCGCTAGAACATAAATATCCACCTGATCTGTCTGCGGGGACGTTGTATTCAGAGAAGCCCGCCTCCTAAATTATCTAAACTACGTCGATGGGGACGTATAACTACTACAATGACAACGTCTACGTCTTTTTTAGACGAACTTAGTTTCAGTTTTAGTAGAGGTTTTACCGCACAAGGTCATATGAGCGCCAGAAGATTAGAGGAGTTACTAGAGGGTAACAAACAAAAAAAGGAGAGATCAGTTTTACTAAGTGGTAGAGGTTTTGCGGCGCTCGCAGCTGCATAAGGTCATATGAGCGCCAAAAGATAAGAGGTGTTGCAAGAGAGTAACAAACATAAAAAAGAAGAAGGGGAAATAAGGCCAATAGATGTTTGATAGGAAAGAAGGAGCAAACCACACCAGAGCACCCGCCAACCACCCACTTGAGACGAACATAACAGCGTTCGTATTGTTGCAGGTAAAAAGAAATATCTTCATTTATAATTTATTTTCCAGTGCTTTTTATTTTTTAGTCTCATGTCACGGTGATAAAATGTGCCCATGTTACATGATGAGTAAGTATTTATTTATTGATCTATTCGTAGTTTTCAGTGGCATGCACATATCAAATATCTTCTGCATTTTTTTTATTACAAGTTTATAGATTATTTTTTTATTGTAGGTTTTTAGATTATTTTTTTATTGCAGGTGTATAGATTATTGTTATTGTAGGTTATGGATTACTTTGTATTGTAGGTTTGTGGATTATTTTTTATGGTAGGTTTATGGATGATTTTTTATTGTAGTTTTACGGATTATTTTTTATAGCAGGTTTATGGATTATTTCTTCGTCGATGCAATATCTCGAGTAATTCTGGGGGGGTTTTCCAGTAATGTTTTATTATTGGATTACAGTCACACACACAGTATCTAGAGTAGTTTTGTTTTTTTCGTGGGAGTTTTGTTGTTGTTGATTTTTTGTTTTTGCTGTTTTTCTGGTGCAGGTGTATGATTTACTTCAGTCACATACAATATCTAGAGCAGTTTTGTTTTTCAGTTGTAGATTTATGATCAGACGGGAAGACATTAAAGTGATACAAACAACAACAAACAAAAGCCAACAAAAAGAAATCGCTTTACATAACAAGCAAGCCGTCGCTGTTACGATCATACACACGTGCTTCAAAATGGGACAGGTGTGCACCCCACATTATTGTCTTCCCTGTCTGTCTGTCTGTGTGTGTGTCTGTCTGTCTGTGTGTGTGTCTGTCTGTCTGTGTGTGTCTGTGTGTGTGTCTGTGTGTCTGTGTGTCTGTCTGTATGTGTGTGTGTCTGTCTGTCTTTGCGCCTGTCCGTGTGTGTCTATCTACTGTCTGTGTGTCTGTGCCGCCTGTCTGCGTGTCTGTCTTTGCGTCTGTCTGTGTGTCTGTCTGTGTGTGTGTTTGTCTTTGCGCCTGTCTGTGTGTGTCTGTCTGTGTGTGTATCTGTCTGTGTGTCTGTCTGTGTTTCTGTCTGTGTGTCTGTCTGTGTGCCTCTGTCTTTGCGTCTGTCTGTGTGTCTGTCTTTGCGTCTGTCTGTCTGTGTGTGTCTGTCTGTGTGTCTGTCTTTGTGTCTGTCTTTGTGTCTGACTGGCTGGCACCCCGACCCTCCCTCCCTCCCTGCTCCGATAGACAGTAGACGAGAGAGGGAGCATAGATCGAAGAAACATCAACCTTTCGTTTGTTTAGTTCACGCCTGCTTCTTTTTCCTCCCACTTTTTGGGAAGGGTTTTTTTTTGGTCTTTTCTTTCTATTATTGTAGAAAAGATGCTCGTAGACATCAGAAAAAGAAGAGAGACGGAGAGAGAGAGAGAGAGA